TGTGTGGGTGAAACGTTGTCAATAAAGGATCACATTATACTGCATTTGTGTTTATATTTCCAGTAATTACAGTTACTGGTTGATTCATGTAATTCATTTTGTAAAAAGTTTACATCAGGATCTATGCCTGTAATCATAGGATGAGAGTAATTTTACAAACTAGATTTTCTGAGTAAATTGATATAAGATTTATATTGAATCTACAACTAGACTTATGACTAAGACACCGTTATTAATCTAAAACTTGTAAAAATTTGAAAGAAAATGGGATTATTACAGAATTGATAATTCAGTTATACACTGAAGTATCTAATAGCACCTTAATTATTTTAACAAGTGAGTTTATGAACTACAGTAGATATTTACAGTTAAAATAAAGGAGCCAATGGATATAATAGTAAAAGAATGTATTAAAAGTAAAATCAGTAGCACCTGAGGTAGTCTATAGCACCTGGAGTATTTTAATGACAAAATAGTGAACTTATTACACTGAGAATAGCACTTTGATTATTTTAACAATTGTGAATATATGAACTGAGGTAGTTATTTAAAGCTAAAATAAAGGAGAAAATATATAAGGGACTAAATTAAGTAAAGGTAAACAAAGTTCAATGGACTGATAATCACTTTGATATAATATAATGGCAAAATAGTTAACTTATTATACTTTAGCACCTGAGAATAGCACCTTGATTATTTTAACAAATGTGAATATATGAACTAAGGTAGTTATATAAAGCTAAAATAAAGGAGAAAATATGTAGGGGACTAAATTAAGTAATGGTGAACAAAGTTCACTTCTTCCATACTTCCTCCCTCCAATGTGATATCCAATTTTTCTTTATCTAAATCGTTTGATACCCTCATTACCTTACTCTTATCTATGTTCACTTTCAACTTTCTACCTTTACATGCCATCCCAAACTTCTCAACTAACCTTTGCAACTTTTTTTTAGAGTCCCCCAAAAGCATAGTATCATCAGCAAAAAGTAACTGTCAACTCCCATTTTGTATTTGATTCCCCATAATTTAATCCCACCCCTCTCCCCAACACCCTAGCATTTACCTCCTTCACAACCCCGTCTATAAATATATTAAACAACCATAGTGATATTACACAGCCCTGTCTAAGACCTACTTTTACTGGAAAGTATCTCTCTCTCTCCTACACACCCTACCCTGAGCCTCACTATTCTCATAAAAACTCTTTACAGCATTTGGTAACTTACTACGTATTCCATACACTTGCAGTATCTGCCACATTGCTCCCCTATCCACTCTATCATATGCCATTTCTAAATCTATAAATGCAATGAAAACTTCCCTACCTTTATCTAAATACTGTTCACACATATGCTTCAATGTAAACACTTGATCTATACATCTCCTATCCATTCTAAAGCCTGCAATCTTGCTATCTTTCTTACCTTTAATTCTTTCAATAATAGCCCTACCATACACTTTACCTGGTATACTCAGTAAACTTATACCCTTATAATTTTTATAGTCTCTTTTGTCTCCCTTCCCTTTATATAAAGGAGCTACACATGCTCTCTGCCAATCCCTAGGTACCTTCCCTTCTTTCTTACATTTATTACACAAAAATACCAACCACTCCAACACTATATCCCCCCTGCTTTTAACATTTCTGTCATGATCCCGTCAGTTCCAGCTGCTTTACCACCTTTCATTCTACACAATACCTCATGCACCTCCCCCACACTCACATCTTGCTCTTCTTCACTCCTAAAAGATGTTATACCTCCTTGGGCAATTCATGAAATTACTGCCTCCTTTTTTTCATTGACATTTAAAATATTCCCACCATCTACCAATGCCTCCAACTCCCCATCTATTAACTCCCCTACTCTGTTTTTAACTGACAAATCCATTTGTTCTCTAGGGTTTTGTAACTTGTTTATCTCCAAATTTTTTTCTTATTCTCAGCAAAATTTCATGACAGTGCCTCTCCCACTATCATTTGCTCTCCTTTTGCACTCTCTCACCACTCCCTTCACCTTTCTTTTACTCTGCATATACTCTGCCCTTCTTATATCACTTCTGCTTTGTAAAAACCTCTCCTAAGCTACCTTTTTCTCTTTTATTGCACTCTTTACCTCATCATCCCACCAATCACTTCTCTTTCCTCCTGCACCCACCCTCCTGTAGCCACAAACTTCTGCCCTACATTCTGATACTGCATTTTTAAAATTATCCCATCCCTCTTCAACCCTTCTCCTCACTACTCATACTTGCACTTGGCCAGTTTTCTGCTAATAGTTGCTTATATCTCACCCTAACTTCTTCCCCCCTTAGTTTATAAATTTTCACCTCTCTCTTACTTATTGTTGCCATTTTCCTTTTGTACCATCTACCTCTTACTCTAACTGTAGATACAACTAGAAAATGATCTGATGTATCCATTGCCCCTCTATAAACATGTACATCCTGAAGCCTACCCATCAACCTTTTATCCACCAATGCATAATCTGACAAACTACTTTAATTACGTGCTATATCATATCTTGTATACTTATTTATCCTCGTTTTCATAAAATATGTATTACTTATTACCAAACCTCTTTCTACACATAGTTCAATTATTGCTCCCCATTTTCATTTACCCCTGGCACCCCAAATTTACCTACTACTCCATCTACAACATTTTTACCCACTTTAGCATTGAGATCCTCAACCACAAGTACTCTCTCACTTGGTTCAAAACTCCCCACACACTGAACATTTCCCAAAATCTCTTTCCTCTAAACTCTCTTCTCCAGGTGCATAAACACTTATTATAACCCACTTTTCACATCCTTCTTTTCCTGCCATAACTTATCCTTCAACATTGGAAATAAATGGTATAAAATACCGACACAATGGAAATATAAACACAAATGCAGTATAATGTGATCCTTTATTGACTACGTTTCGCCCACACAGTGGGCTTTTTCAAGTCACAAACAGAACTACCTGGGGTGGAAGGAACGCGAGTATTTATAGTCCGGTTCCGAATGCTGAAGTCAGGTGAAGAATGCTGCATCTGATGATGTACCGAGTTGGGTTATAGAGTCTAAAAACTTGGGTAGCTTGGAAAGGAGATTGGATAAGTTTGTGAGCAGACCTTCTACGGTGTTCTTATGTGGGATAGCGATGAAGAAGTTTCTTGGCAAGTGGTTCAGCTATGTTATAGAAGCCACTATTCTGGTTGAAGTTGTCGGATATAGAAATAAGTGATGATTCCAGGATTCTTCGGTATTGAGTGTTGTCTTCTGTGGCGATAAGTCTTGAGTTTCTGTAGTTTATCAAGTGGTTGTGTGAATTACGGTGTTGTACGCAGGCATTCCTTGTGTCGTCACTTCATCAGAGACTGCAGACGGCGGGCATTAAACATCTTCAACACACCCAGAGAAGACACTGCCGAAAAAGAGATACATATCCTTCCCACCAGCTCCATTGCCAAACATTTTTCCAACATCTTTGCCAAACATCATTCCAAGTATCTACCTCCACAACCACGACCATCAAGGACATCACCAGTAGTAGACAGGACAAGCCTCCATCCTCTGCAGGGTATACATAATCCCTTGTAATGACTGCAACAAGTTATACGTGGGCGAAACATCAAGGGACCTCCAAACACGTGTTTCAGAACACCAATAACGCAAGCAGGTTCTGACGACACAAGGAATTGCCTGCGTACAACACCGTAATTCACACAACCACTTGATAAACTACAGAAACTCAAGACTTATCGCCACAGAAGACAACACTCAATACCGAAGAATCCTGGAATCATCACTTATTTCTATATCCGACAACTTCAAACCAGAATATTTGGCTTCTAAAAACAAAGCTGAACCACTTCCCAAAGAAACTTCTTCATCGCTATCCCACATAAGAACACTGTAGAAGGTCTGCTCACAAACTTATCCAATCTCCTTTCCAAGCTACCCAAGTTTTTGGGACTCTATAACCCAACTCGGTACATCATCAGATGCAGCATTCTTCACCTGATTTTCAGCATTCGGAACCGACTATAAATACTCGCGTTCCTTCCACCCCAGGTAGTTCTGTTTGTGATTTTAAAAAGCCCACTGTTGTGGGCGAAACGTAGTAAATAAAGGATCACATTATACTGCATTTGTGTTTATATTTCCACCCTTTCAACATTATTGATACTCCTTCCTTAGCCTAACTATATTAGAAACCCCTGACCTAATCCCATTTATTTCTCCCCACTGAAACTCTCCTAACCCCTTCAGCTTTGTTTCATTTAAAAGAGCCAGGACATACAGCTTTTTTTCATTCATAACACCACAGTCATTTTCTCTCTTATCATTCGCACTACATCCACGCACATGTCAAACATCCCACTTTACGGTTTTCTTTTTTTTTATTTTTAGTAAGTTATACAGGATAAGGAGTTACTGGCCCATTGTTTCCGGCATTTTAGTTGACTTTTACAACACGAATGGGTTTTCTGAAGAAAGATTCTTATTCCACTTCCTCATGGATTTGAAAGGAAAAGTAAAAGAACAAGAACGGGTTTAAAATAAAGAAAAATCAGATGAGTTGTTGTATATAAATGTGTACATGCATGTGGGAGTGTGACCTAATTTAAGTAGAAGTAGCAAGACATACCTGAAATTTTGCATGTTTTATGAGACAGAAAAAAGATACCAGCAATTATACCATCGTGTAAAACAAATACAGGCTTCCGTTTTTAACTCCACTTGGCAGATTTATATACTATCTAAAAAAAAAAAAATTTTTTTCTATGTGTCTAATATCAAGCAGGGAGTAAAATATACAGTATCCCTGCCTTTGTTTCCCAGAGAAAGACTGGGTTTAATAAATTACACTCTGAGCAATGATTTTTTTTTTTATGTTTGTAGCAATGTTGACAGTTAAAATATCATCATCATCTATATTTCAGGAAATTAGTGGGGAATTACCTCTTAAAGAAGAGTAATCTGTGACTTATTTCATATTTTCAGAATTTTTGGAAGAACAAAGCAATTCTAAAAGTGGGTTTGTGGTTGTCTTGATGATAGTAACTACTTGGAAGCAGATTACAACCTTAAGGTAACTAGTGCTACTCACTCTGAATTAGTGATGAGAAGGGGTAAGTCTTTACAAAGGAAGTAAAACAATTGTTCTGAGCCACTCCAGCCAGGTGAGCACAATTAGGTAGGTGTCTTTTGTCTCTATTAGTGAACGGAGGATTGAGCCTTAACCTCTACCTGCACTGAATGATTCTATGTAAGTTTAGTACTCTGTATGATTAGTAATATAGTAATAATAATAATAATAATAAAATATAGCTTTGATTTAATGGACTGCAGATTTAACAGACAAACAATTTGGCCAGATACCCAATGGACAAAATGGAAAGGTCCATTGATTCATGACTTTGACTGTTTGCATAGATTAAAAAGCAGGCGTCCCCTACTTTGCAATGTTCTGCTTGTGCAGCGGTTATCATTTATACCCATTTTTTATTTATTCGGTGTGGGTTCTGCTATTCTGGCATTTTTTCAGCCTGACTTGCACTACGTTGAGAATCTGGTGATATTTTCTTCAGTCTGTTTTTCAGCCTTTGTGCACTCTGCATCTCTCTGAATGTTTTAAAACCATTAACCCTTTCAGGGTCGGCAGGCCCTCTCGAGACTAAACTTGTTCTCAGGGTTGGAAATTTTTCGAAAAAAAAAAAAAAAAAATTTTTATGAAATTGATAGAGAATCTTTTCCCCATATTATCGACTGCATAATACTATCTCCTGCTAACTGTTTTTAGGTAATCCCCCACCAACAATAACCTTTCCACTTCTTTAGGATTTGTGATCTCCTTTTGTCAGCATATCTACCCCTTTTGCAACAACAGCAAACTTTATTTACTTTCCCGCACCACGATCGAAGTGATGGTTGAATAGGGTTTGCCATACATCCTGGCAAGTTCTGTAACAAAGCACTCCACTCTCATATTTTTCAATGATTTCCTTCTTGAATTCGATCGTGTTCCTCGCCTTCTTTACCAAAGGGCTTTGCATTAGCTTTCCTTGGGCCTTGGTGACTTTTTAGTCAGTTGCAAGCACAAAACAAACAATGGTTACAGTGGACCCCCGCATACCGTTGGCATCACATACGTTTTAAATCCGCATACCGATAAATTTTATCGCTAAGATTTTGCCTCGCATTCCCGCTAAAAAAACCCAATCAAACGCTATTCGTCGGACGCATTTAATGTTGCGGCCTGAGCCCAGCCTCACATGTTCAGCGGTCGGTTATTGTTTACCAGCCTGCCTCCGCGGTAACATCAAGCATTCAATCGGAACATTTGTATTATTACAGTGTGTTTTTTGTGATTTTATCTGCAAAATAAGTGACCATGGGCCCCAAGAAAGCTTCCTAGTGACAACCCTAAATGGAATAAGGGTGAGAATTACTATAGAGATGAAGAAAGAGATCATTGCTAAGTATGAAAGTAGAGTTGCGCGTCTCCGAGCTGGCAGGTTGTATGTTAAACCCCAATTCAACCATCGCTTACTATTGTGTCCAAGGGAAAAGGCCAATCAAGGAAGCTGTTCTTGCTGCCAAAGGTTCAACTGTGTTTTCGAAATACAGAGATCGCAAGTGATAGGAAGATGTTGAGTAGACTCTTATTAGTGTGGATAAATGAAAAACAGATAGCAGGAGATAGCATCTCTCAAGTGATCATAAGTTGAAAAGGTAGGAAGATTGCATGAGGAGTTTAATTAAAAAATGCCTGCAACTAGTGATGATGTGAGAGTGAATTTAAAGGCAGCAAACGGTTGGGTTGAGAGATTTAGAAGCGTTAGTGGCTACATTGCGTGATAAAGCATGGTGAGGGCTGCCAGTTCGGACACAAAGCAGCTGAAAAATAGTGCATGAATTCAAGAGTACATAGACAGATGAGAATTTAAACCTGAACAGTGTTTAATTGTGACAAACAGGCCTTTTTGAAGAAAATGCCAAGCGGGCTACATTACTCAGGAGGAAGGAAAAGGCATCCCAGGACAATAAGCCTATGAAAGACAGGCTTACTCTTCTCATGTGTGCCATGCTAGTGGTGTGATTGCAAATGAAGCCTTATAATGCGTATCACTACTGAAACTCCCAGAGCGTTCAGGCAAAGAAATATCCTCAAGGCTAATTTGTGTGTGCTGTGGAGGGCAAAACAATAAGGCATGGATCACTAGGGACTTTTTCTATGAATGGTTACACCAAGCATTTGCCCCCAATGTGGAATAATTACCTAATGAAAGGATTTGACCTTAAGTGCCTCCTGGTGTTAGGACCAATGCCCCTGGTCATCCTTACAGACTTAGCAGTAAGCAACTTTATCGGGGACATTGTGCTTCATAAAAGTGAAGTTTTTGCCTCCTATACCACTCCTCTTCCTGCAGCCCATGGGACCAGCAGGTATTGCCAAACTTCAAAAAACTGTACACAAAAGCTCTGTTTGGAAAGGTGCTTTGTAGTGACCTCAGAAACTCAACTGACTCTAAGGAGTTTTGGAGAGAGATCACTTTAATATCTCAATTGATGTAAACCTTATAGGTAGGCTTGGGAGGGAGTGCTAAGTGGCCTTGAAACTCTGCTTGGAAGGAAAACTGTGGCCAGCATGTGTAGACCAAAGGGATTTTGAAGGGTTTGAGGCTAACCCTGGGAATCCTATGCCAGTTGAGGAATCCACTGTGGCATTGGGAAATGATTGGGGATGATGTGGAAGAGTTGGTGGAGGAGATGTAGGACAATGAGGAACATAAACCACTGATGAGCTGTACATCATCTTCTTCAGCATGATGGTCACAACTGAGGGAAACTGGTATCGGAGGAGGGGGAGAGAGAAATTGAAGAAGAAGTGCGTACTTCTCAAAGTTTAAGGAAATTGTGCAGATGTGGCTTAAAAGTGCAAACCTTTTTTGAAGACATCACCCTAACACAGCTATTGCAACCCGTTGCTGGGTGGACTATTACACTGACAATGGTTTGAACCACTGTAGGGAAAGTCAATAAAGGAACGGGAGTACAGCCTCTATGGACAGATATGTTGTGCGACAGAAGTTCCAGTGACTCTGAAGCTGGTCCTAGTGGCATTAAAAAGAAGAAGGAAGTAACCCTGATAGGGACTTGACACTTCATGTCTTAATGGAGGGATTACCCTTCTATTACCACTAGATCTCTCCTCCTCCCATCCATCAATCTCCCAGATCATCAATAAAAGTTATGTGTCATTTAACTGTGCATGTCTTTTTCAGTTTGTGTGTATTAAAATTAATATTTCATGTGGTAAAATTTTTTTTTTTCATACTTTGGGGTGTCTTGCACGGATTGGATTAATTTGATTTTCATTATTTCGTATGGGAAAATTCATCGCCATAACGATAATTTTCGCTTAACAATGCAGTCTCGCAGGAACGGATTATTAATATCGTTATGCGGGGGTCCACTGTATTATGAAATGTATTGTATGAACCCACTGGGTGATGGGCATGTGCTGGTAAACAATGGCACACTGAGTGTGAATGGTGCAGGAGACTGGCTTTGTGTGCACGGTGATGGGTGGACAGGTACCGGAAGGAGACAGGGTACTGGACGGCTGCCGAATCACGAGTCCAATCACGAACCGCGAGGCTAAATTTTGCTGAAAAACTTGCCGAAAGTTGGATTTCACGAAAGTCAATGCCGATGAAACTCAGGGGTCCACTGTATTTATTTATTTATTTTTATTTATTTATTTTATGTATTTGCAAGCAGTTACATTGAGATTTTGGATTTACAATAGTGGGTTGCAATGCAAAGAGAGCCTCTATTATGCCTAGGCATTATGGGCCAACTTAACATTATTGGCTTACAGACTACTTAACACTAAGGATTATATCATAGTTGTACAGTAGGATAGTAATTATTTCATAGTTGAACAGTTGAGTAATTAATTATAAGTGAATCAGAATTTGTATAAGACAAAAGATAAATTCATCTATTCAAAAATGCTTTTTATGAAAACAATGATTCAATTATTTTCCTGTCAACAGTGGATAAAAGGTTCAAAGTGATTGTTGAAGTTATGATGTGGGAGAACTTAAGTATGTGTGTCCTGAGTATTAGCATTTAGTCTAGGGTGATTAAGTGGCTTTTAAGAAGAGTCCTAATTGATTTCAGACCGGGATTACTTTATATCTTCTGGGTAAATAGGGATTCCATTTATTTTGGGGGCCCTTTTGTGCATAGAGTTTTTACAGTGTGATATGGACACGAGGTATATCAAAAAGTGACCTGTGTTTTGTGTTGTGGTCATGTGTCCTGTTAGGTTGGTGAGGAGAAGTTTGAGTGGGGGAGGGGTTTATATTTGCGTGTATTGTTCTGTGTATGTAGTAGGGCACATGAATAAGTATGGATGTTATTAACGGTGATCGGCAGATTCAGACTTTTGTAAAATTGGTGGAGTATGCCGGCGCGGGTCAGGAGTGGAGAATTTGTTATCATTTTACTGCTGCCTTTTGCTGGGTTATAGGGGTTTTTGGTGTAGGATGTTGTTGATCCCCATAGCACAAATTCATTTGTAAGATAAAGGTATATGAGTGAAATGGTACAGTGCGAGGAGAGCTGATGTGGAAAGTAGTTAGTACTTATTTTGATAGTATGCACTAAGTCTTGGAGAATTTTGTTGGTTGATTTGTTTGTATGTGTGTCCGGAACTTAGGCTACTGTCAAGGTGGATACCTAGGAATTTTCCTCTGTGAGTTTTGATGACTGATGATTCCGTTTAAGTCTTATGTAATTGTATATAAATCAATTTTCCTCATTGTGAAATTAACTGAAATGCCATTAATCCAATTCCAGCCCACAAAAAAACACCCCAATTTTTTTTTTTTTTAACAGGTTTTAAATAGAAAAATATATTTATAAATAAGTAAATATTGTATATAAAAATAATAAAACATAAAAAAGAGAATGTAAAGATATACAGGTTTTATAAAGGTATTTACCTGGAGATCAGACAATTTTGCTTACTTCGATGGAAATTCCTGAGTCTTCAAGGGGCAGTGAGGAAATTACGTC